CGGAGTGTTAACGTAAGGATTAATTTGAGGAAGGGTTGCTGGAGTGCCAGTGAACCCATTAGTCATTGTTGTCATTGAAAGGCTACTGATTTGATTGCATTGCAACCGCCATTGCAGGTGTAGTACTGTACTGAGGCGTAGAACAGTTAGGAGGTTACTGGAGACGTGTTTCAGAACCCACTGTGTCATTTGTTGTAATTGTGATTATAGATCTGTTAGTTACTGTTTCTTGTTGATTCCTCTGTGGTCACGCTTATGTTCGAGTTAGTTCATTATGCAGTCCAAGGGGCTGGTGTCTAGCTTTCGTTGATAGTGTCACAGGAAGGATTTCGAGTAACGTCATAGATATTTCTTTTGTTTTGTTGTAGTAGTTAGTACTTTATTGAATAAACTAAGTTGTTATGGTTAACACTGTCTTCTCGTAACACCCCACACATTATTATTGTCCTGCAAGTGTTCTGACACACTCGACTAATCAAATTGAGACTGATTCTGAGTTTAGGACTAAATATACGGCAACACACAACAATAAATTATTGTTGTGAGAGCCCAGGACCTAGTCGTTAGATTCGCTTCGGCGAATAGCGAAGGTCAACGGCCTAGTGGAGGGGATTTCAATTTTCATTGGGGTCTCGGCGTTTGCTCGCGCCTAGTCAATTGTTCATACATGGTCCCAAAGTGAGGAATGAGCTGCTTACTACACTGGTGTGTTAGCTAAGCAAGTCCTTACTCAGGCGACCTAATTGAATATCACGACAGGAATAAAGGTTAAAGAATAAAGAAAACTCTTAGAAATTTTCCGAGCTCAATTCCTTATACCAATTTCATTTATTTCCACTCATAAACTCTCCCAACACGCACACTGTACAGACAAATACGTCTCGTGTAAGACCACAGTGAACATACGATCACGGCTCGTGTACGACCACACTATACAGACGATCACGTCTCGTTTACGACTGCGTTGTACAGACGAGTACGTCTCGTGAACGACCTCACTGTACAGACGAATACGTCTCGTGAACGACCACACTGTACAGACGATCACGTCTCGTGTACGACCACATTTTTACAGACGGTCACGTCTCGTGTACGACCTCACTGTACAGACGAATACGTCTCGTGTACGACCTCACTGTACAGACGAATACGTCTCGTGAACGACCTCACTGTACAGACGAATACGTCTCGTGAACGACCACACTGTACAGACGATCACGTCTCGTGTACGACCTCACTGTACAGACGAATACGTCTCGTGAACGACCTCACCGTACAGGCGAATACTTCTTGTGAAAGACCACAGTGTACAACCGATCACGTCTCTTGTACGACGACACTGTACAGACGATCACGTCTCGTGTACGACCATACTGTACAGACGATCACGTCTCGTTTACGACTACGCTGTACAGACGAATACGTCTCGTGAACGACCTCACTGTACAGACGAATACGTCTCGTGAACGACCTCACTGTACAGACGAATACGTCTCGTGAACGACCAAAGTGTACAGACGATCACGTCTCGTGTACGACTACACTGTACAGTCGATCACGTCTCGTGCTCAACCACACTGTATAGACAAGTACGACTCCTGAACAACCACACTATTCAGACGATCGCGTCTCGTGTACGACGACACTGTACAGACGATCACGTCTCGTGTACGACCATACTATACAGGTGATCACGTCTCGTTTACCAGCACACTGTACGGACGAATACGTCTCATGTAAGACCACACTGTACAGACGATTACGTCACGTGTACGTCCACACTGTACAGACGATCACGTGTCGTGTACGACCACACTGTACAGACGATCAAGTCAGTTGCACCAGCACTCTGTACCTACAATCACGTCTCTTGTACGACTACATTGTAAAAGACGATCACGTCTCGTGTACGACCACATTGTAAAAGACGATCACGTCTCGTGTACGACCACACTGCACGAACGATCACGTCTCGTGTACGACCACAGAGTACAGACGATCACGTCGCATATAAGACCACACTGTACAGACGGTCACGTTCCGTGTACGACCTCACTGTACAGACGAATACGTCTCGTGGACGACCACATTGTACAGACTATCACGTCTCGTGTACGACCATACTATACAAACGATCACGTCTCGTTTACGACCAAACGGTACAGACGGCCACGTCTCGTGTACGACCCCTTTTAACAGACGGTCACGTCTCGTGTACGACTACATAGTGCAACCGATCACGTCTCGTGTACGACCACACTGTACAGACGAATACGTATCGTGTACGACCACACTGTACAGACGATCACGTCTCGTGTACGTCTCCACTGAACAGAAGATCACGTTTCCTGAACGACCACACTGTACAGACAGTCGCGTCATATTCACGACCAAACTGTACAGACGATCAAGTCTCGTGCACCACAACTCTGTACAGATAATCACGTCTCTTGTACGACCACACTGTAAAAGACGTTCACATCTCGTGTACGACTACATTGTACAGACATTCACGTCTCATGTACGACCATTCTGCACAGACGAACACATCTCGGGTACGACTACAGTTTTACAGACGGACATGTCTTGTGTACGACTACAGTGTACAGACGATCACGTCACGTGTACGACTATACTGTACAGACGATCACGTCTCGTGAACAACCACACAATACAGACGATCACGTCTCGTGTACGAAAACTTTTTACAGACGGTCGCGTCTCGTGTACGACTACATAGTGCAGACGATCACGTCTATTGTACAATCACATTGTACAGACGATCACTTCTCACTCACGACCACACTGTTCAGACGATCACGTGTCGTGGACGACCACACTGTACAGACAATCACGTCTCGTGAACGACTATACTGTACACATAATCAAGTCTGGCGAACGACCACACTGTAAAGACAATCACGTCTCGTGAACGACCACATTCTACAGACTAGCACGTCTTGTGTAGGATCACTCTGTTCAGACGATCACGTCTCCTGTACGACCACACTGTATAGACGATGGTGTCTCGCGCACGACCACACTGTACAGACTATCACGTGTCGTGTACGACCACATTTTACAGACGATCACTTCTCGTGTACGAATACTGTGTACAGACGACCACGTGTTGTGCACTACCACACTGTACAGACGATCACATCTCGTGTATGACCATACTGTATACATAATCACGTCTAGTGTACGACCACACTGTAAAGACGATCACGTCTTGTGCACGACCACACTGTACAGACGGTCACTTCTCGTGTACGACCACACTGTATAGACGTTCACGTGTCGTGTACGACCACACTGTACAGACGATCACTTGTCGTGCACGACCACACTGCACAGATGGTCAAATCTCGTGTACGACCACACTGTATAGAGAGTCACGTATCGTGTACGACCACACTGTACAGACGATCTCGTGCCGTGCATGACCACACTGTATAGACGATCACGTCTCGTGTACGACCACACTGTACACACGGTCATTACTCTTGTACGACAACACTGTACAGACTTCACGTTTCGTGCACGACCACACGGTACAGACGATCACGTCTCGTGTAAAAACACACTGTACAGACGATCACGTCTTGTGTACGAGCACACTGCACAGATGGTCAAATCTCGTGTACGAGCACACTGTACAGACGATCACGTCTTGTGTACGAGCACACTGTACAGACGATCACGTCTTGTGTACGAGCACACTGTACAGACGATCTCGTCTCGTATACGACCACTCGGATACTCGTCAGTCAACAACAGTAACCATATAGTGAGTCAGCTCTCTAATAACTTCATTTACCATAGAATGATTTACGTCTCTAACAACATTATTTACCATAGAGTGAGTCAGGTCTCTAACAACATCATTAACCAGTCAGGTAAGTCATTAAGTCAGGTCTCTAACAACATCATTAACCAGTCAGGTAAGTCATTAAGTCAGGTCTCTAACAACATCATTAACCAGTCAGGTAAGTCATTAAGTCAGGGCTCTAACAACATTCGAATAATTATTATCCCCACATTTGTCTGTAATTCTGACCCCGCATATTGGTAACTATACATATATCGGTAACCTCACATATTGGTAACTACACATTTTGGTAACGTCACATGTTAGTCTCAAATATTGTTAAACTCACATACTGATAATCTCATATATCGTTGAGTACCAGGAAGGGAAGAGAACTATCAGGGGAAAGCACCAAGCCATTACGACTATTTAGCAGTTGAGTACCAGGAGTGCCTCCAAAAACGTGAAAATTATTTTTCATTTTAATTTTCGTTTTCACGTTTTTTACCTCACATTTGCGATATGTCACGTATCTGAAGCTATCTTCAAGGCTCCACGTACCACGAGTCAGAGAATTGTTATTTCGATTAAAAAAAATTATATACGAAATGAATGCTTATCGCCTAACATGAATGAGGTTATATGAGAGATTTATCCGGTAATGAGCCTTCAAGGTCGACGGTTCATTATTGTTCACGATTCTATAGTCCCTGAAATTATTCTCACATTCTCCAACATGTCCCTGAAGAATAAATTTCTTCGTATTTCTCAGTCTGTATTTTCTAACCTCCCCGCTCTTACTTTCACCCTCTGTGAGAGGAGAGATTACCAGCTAGCTTTTATACTGTGTCTTGCAGGCCATCAGTTTGCACTCTGACACGAGTGCACTAGAGTGAACTCACTCAAGATTCTGTAATTCTGAAGCTAGCATTTTGTTGTTTGGTGTCTATGAGGAACATGGACCCCAGGGCTGTTCAGTAAGACTACGGAGGCCGCCGTAGCTTTTCTGTTAGAAGAGGTACAGCTATCACAGGCATCACGTGACTAGAAGAGGCCTACAGACTGGTGGTGGCACCATGCCGATTCCGCGCTATCCTCTGACTGGTTAATTCGTGGAACAGAGAAGATAAGCATGGCCCGCTCCTGCCTCGCCTTGGAAAATTATTCTGTCCGTATCGCTGCGTTTGTCAGACGTCTTTTCCCGCGGTTCAGCCAAACTGCTAGAAATACCGTCTAGAGGCAACATGTAGTAATTCATTTATCATCGTTCCATCACCGCGAGTCCGTCAAGCAGAATCCGGGATCGCGGCTAGAGGAATTATAATAATTAAGAGTGAATCATAGATGAAGATATAGTATATACCACGTGATCCCACAGGAGAAACGGGACTCCATTCTTAGATCCATGATCATCGTTGGTATCCATAGTCATCCGTCACTATATGATTATGATACTGAACTAGGTGGGAATAAGGAAAGGTTTCCCAGTGATTGTGAAATCCTCCTGACGTAATTTAGTGAATTTGGGCCACTTTGATGGACATAGGAAATTCCCGCCTAATCTGTGCCATCACCACCTCACTCCACCGCACTCTTGAGCAAGCATATCACGCTCGTGCGTGTGTGGGAATCTGCCCAACGAGTCCCTGTTATCAGCTGGGGTAGCCTGCAGTGCTCGCTCCGCTGTGTCATGGTGCTGTGCGCCGGGGACGTTGGACTCATTATTATCATCTTATCAGTACCCAGTGTCACCACCGGTTCATACTCCACGTGCTCTTTCATAATCACGTGAGGAGGATGTTTGGTTGATCTTCAGTCAACTGCCGCATTCAGTGTCTGTATGTATGGGAGAGGTGTGCTTGGGAAGGTCGGTCTGATGTGAGTACTTATATTTATATTTTGCATAAAGTTTCATTGGTTAACGTTAAATCAACTTCCGGTTGGATGTTGTCCTAGAGCACCTGGTTATGGTGAAAGAACCGAGTCAAAGGAAACTCGCTGATGTTAATTAAGGGTAATTAACATCATCAAGTGAAGTGACAGTTTTGTTTGGCAAGCTGTCGTGAGTGACAGCATTGAGTAACGTAATTAGTTCACGATTAATTTTTCTGTCCGTTTGACAGTAATTAATGTAATTACTCACTGCGTGTTTAATTGGTCCGAGTGATCAGGTGATCAGAGTAATTTTGAATAACGAATTATTGTTTTGATTTGTTTGATTGTCTGATAGACAGGATCGTGATTAATGTAGAGTTCCTTTGTTGTTGATTAGCCGGTTGACAGTAAATTAACGTAATTAATCATTGAGACTAATTAGGGTAATTGATTAGACTGTTGTTTTGGTTATCGTCTTTAGAGACGTGTGTTAACGTAATTGATAGGGTTACTGGAGATTGTCTCATTGACCCGGCTTTTTGTGTTTACATTGTTTATTTGCATTTTGCTGCAATTGCTTGAATTGCAACTTGAGTCCTACGTGAGGACCCGTATTTGTTCAATTAGTTCATTATATCTGCCTAAAGCGGCACAGATTGGAAGCTATTGCTATACTGAGAATGGCAAATGAGATGGACTCCTTGCTAAAGTTACTGTCTGGATAGCTGTCTTTAAGTGTAATGGAAGTACATTAACGTAAGGTCAAGAGTGTTGTGCTTTGTATTTGTTTTAGTACTTTATGAATAAATTATTATTGTTGCCAGAAGATATGCATGTGAATTTATGTCAATAACATCCAATGTTATTGTCCCACCCATACTGCAACATATTGAACTGTTCTTGCAAACTTTAATGAAGTCCTGCATCTGGATTCGAACCCAATTCTTAGCTGAACACATAAAATTAAATTTAGTGTGAGAACTCATGAGCTACCCTTATCATTGCCCTAAGCATTTAAGAAGCTCAACAACCAACAACCAACCAACTGTTGAGCTCAACAGAAGCTCAAGGGTCCCAATTGTTTTAGAACCCTGGCGGTTGTTCCCGCCGTTTATTTAGGTTTGAAAGTATTAATCTGCACTGGCACGTGCTAGCATGTGCAGTCCCTTCTGACTGAGGACATTTGTATTAGAGTCTAAACCCAAATAAATAAATTCCCACACCCTCTACATCTTACCTTCCCTCGCCTTCCTCGCAGACTGCCGTCTTGTCCTCTGGAACGACATGGAGTTCCCAATCAACAACGTAGGAAGCGGTTTCCCTGCCGGTACTCTGAACTACACCGTATCCATGCAGCAGTGTGTCAAGTACTCCTGCATCGGCGTGGTCTGCCTTGCCCTAAGTAAGTCGCCATGCACATCTCTTTTTCTCTTTTCTAAAATAACTGCTTTGACCATAGGATTGATAAAAATTAATTGTTTAGGGCCTTTCTTAATTTTAAACGTAAGAATAGTAAGTTAACTTTTGAGGACAGATTTATTACTATATTTTATTGAAAACCCACTTCTACTTGTTTAAAACACAGACTGAAATATAGCCTGTAAAAAAGAAACAAAACGACACACATAGAGCGTGAGAGGCACGAACATATAGACAGATATACACGACAGGAGAGAGAGAGAGAGAGAGAGAGAGAGAGAGAGAGAGAGAGAGAGAGAGAGAGAGAGAGAGAGAGAGAGAGAGAGAGAGAGAGAGAGAGAGAGAGATACCTACATAGATACATACAGACAAAGATAGAAACAGAAAGATAGACAGAGACACAAAGGCAGAAATTTGAGACAGAAAATTTCCTTCTAGAAAAATAGAGTCAGAGAGATATATAGCGATAGACAGACGTACAGACATTTTGACAGATATAAAGAGACAGAGAATTAGACTGACAGACATTCAGACATTATGACAGACTTAAGGAGACAGAGTTAGAGTGACAGATAGACAGATAGGCAGACATACACAATGAGAATGAAAGGCAGACATAGACACATATATATATATATATATATATATATATATATATATATATATATATATATATATATATATATATATATATATATATATATATATATGCCGGCGGTGGGGTGGTTCAAATAGCCTCGGCTATCACCTCATTATGTCCGGTCGTGATGGTCAAGTGGATTAAGGCGTCTTGTACATACCAGTTGCGTTGCTCCTGGGAGTATGGGTTCAAGTCACTTCTGAGGTGTGAGTTTTCAGTTGCATATTGTCCTGGGGACCATTCAGGCTTGTTCGCATATATATATATATATATATATATATATATATATATATATATATATATATATATATATATATATATATATATATATATATATATATATATATATATATATACTGAAAAACTCACACCCCAGAAGTGACTCAAACCCATACTCCCAGGAGCAACGCAACTGGTAACTACAGGGCGCCTTAATCCGCTTGACCATCACGGCCGGACAAAAGGAAGTGGTAGCCGAAGCTATTTGAACCACTTCCCCGCCGGCAACTCGGATGGTAATCTTGGGCATAGCATTTCACCAAATCACCTCATTCTTAGGGGCACACGTGAGGAACACAAATGCGAACAAGCCTGAATGGTCCCCAGGACTATATGCGACTAAAAACTCACACCCCAGTCGCATATAGTCCTGGGGACCATTCAGGCTTGTTCGTATTTGTGTTCCTCACGTGTGCCCCAAAGAATGAGGTGATTTGGTGAAATGCTATGCCCAAGATTACCATCCGAGTTGCCGGCGAGGAAGTGGTACAAATAGCATCGGCTACCACTTCCTTTTGTCCGGACGTGATGATCAGCGGATTAAGGCGCCCTGTAGTTACCAGTTGCGTTGCTCCTGGGAGTATGGGTTCGAGTCACTTCTGGGGTGTGAGTTTTCAGTCACATATAGTCCTGGGAACCATTCAGGCTTGTTCGCATATATATATATATATATATATATATATATATATATATATATATATATATATATATATATATATATATATATATATATATATATATATATATATATATGTCGTACCTAATAGCCAGAACGCACTTCTCTGCCTACTATGCAAGGCCCGATTTGCCTAATAAGCCAAGTTTTCATGAATTAATTCTTTTTCGACTACCTAACCTACCTAACCTAACCTAACCTATCTTTTTCGGCTACTTAACCTAACCTAACCTATAAAGATAGGTTAGGTTAGGTTAGGTAGGGTTGGTTAGGTTTGGTCATATATCTACGTTAATTTTACCTCCAATAAAAAAAAATTGACCTCATACATAATGAAATGGGCAGCTTTATCATTTCATAAGAAAAAAATTAGAGAAAATATATTAATTCAGGAAAACTTGGCTTATTAGGCAAATCGGGCCTTGCATAGTAGGCTGAGAAGTGCGTTCTGGCTACTAGGTACGACATATATATATATATATATATATATATATATATATATATATATATATATATATATATATATATGCGAACAAGCCTGAATGGTCCCAGGACTATATGCGACTGAAAACTCACACCCCGGAAGTGACTCGAACCCATACTCCCAGGAGCAACGCAACTGGTAACTACACGACGCCTTAATCCGCTTGACCGTCACGACCGGACATAAGGAAGTGATAGGCGAAGCTATTTGAACCACTTCCCCACCGGCACTCGGATGGTAATCTTGGGCATAGCATTTCATCAAATCACCTCATTCTTTGGGGCACATGTGAGGAACACAAATGCAAACAAGCCTGAATGGTCCCCAGGACAATATGCGACTGAAAACTCACCCCAGATCGTGATGGTCAAGTGGATTAAGGCGTCGTGTAGTTACCAATTGCGTTGCTCCTGGGAGTATGGGTTCGAGTCACTTTTGGGGTGTGAGTTTTCAGTCATATATATATATATATATATATATATATTAAATATGACCGAAAAAGTAAGATTAATAATTCTAACACGAATTTTCTCAATCTTTCGTACATTTCTTTTCACTGTTGGAGGTAAATCAAAAATCAATTCTCCAAAATTCATTTTTATTTATAGTCTACTAATTTCTAGTCTCTAATTTTTGGAGAATTAATTTTTGATTTACCTCCAACAGTGAAAAGAAATGTACGAAAGATTGAGAAAATTCGTGTTAGAATTATTAATCTTACTTTTTCGGTCATATTTAATAATATATGTCTACAGGAAAGACTGCTACCAAAATATACTCATATATAATATATATATATATATATATATATATATATATATATATATATATATATATATATATATATATATATATATATATATATATATATATATATATATATATTAGTATATTTTGGTAGCAGTCTTTCCTGTAGACATATATTATTAAATATGACCGAAAAAGTAAGATTAATAATTCTAACACGAATTTTCTCAATCTTTCGTACATTTCTTTTCATTGTTGGTGGTAATTCAAAAATCAATTCTCCAAAATTCATTTTTATTTCTAGTCTGACGCGACACTTGAGCGCGTTTCGTAAAACTTATTACATTTTCAAAGACTTTAGCTTACACATACACAACTGTAAGAAATCTGGACTCCACCTGCCAAAGATTATTGGGGAATATAAACCTGGATATGCGTATGGAAATGTCAAGGCACACAAGCCTGGAAACCCACTTCGGCCAATCATTAGCCAGATACCCACACCCACGTCCAGACTGGCGAAGCGACTCAACGGCCTGCTGACTCCTTATGTCCCTTGCGCCTTCAGCCTGAAGTCTCCAAAGGAATTTGTTGACTTACTGCGGGGCACACGGGCCACAGGGATAAGAGCCTCGTTGGACGTAGAATCCCTGTTTACCAACGTACCTGTGGACGAGACAATCGGGATGATAGCCGACAGAGTGTATCGTGATCCGGCCTGCACTCCTCTTGACATACCAGAGAACATTCTGAGGAAACTACTCCAAGCTTGTACTAAAGAGGCACCCTTCTTGAGCCCGGATGGGCACATGTATAAGCAAGTAGATGGGGTCGCCATGGGTTCCCTCCTTGGTGTCCTGTTTGCAATCTTCTACATGGGTACCATCGAGCAAAAAGTCTTAGTCGAAATGAACTTGAAACCGGCCATATACTGCAGGTATGTTGAAGACATTTTTACACAGGTACCTGATGTCAGACATCTGCAGGAGCTGAAGGAGGCATTTGAGCAGAGTTCCGTGCTGCGTTTCACTTACGAGATGGAAAAGGATGGGAAGCTGCCCTTTCTAGATGTAACAGTCATGGAAAAGAGCGGAGGTTTCCACACTGCAGTCTACACTAAGGAAACGAACATAGGAATGTGCCTAAATGCCAACAGCGACTGCCCAGACAGGTACAAGAGGAGTGTTGTTAATGCTTATGTCGACCGTGCTCTCAGCCACAGCTCAGAATGGAAGCAAGTCGACGAAGAACTCTGTAGGGTAAGGCAGGTCCTAGTCAACAACGGCTTCTCCAATGGTTTCGTCGAAGACATCATAAGAAGGAAAGTGAAACACCATGCAACCTATGAAGAGACAACCAACACAACACCTATACCCCCTATTAGACTATTTTACAAGAACTTCTTTTCCACCGCTCATAAAACGGAGGAAAGATTCCTGAAAGATATTGTTAATAGAAACGTTATCCCTACAGACAAAAATCAGAGGATACAACTGACGATTTACTATAAAACCAGAAAAACGGCCAGCCTACTCATGAGAAACTCTCCAGACACAAAGCAGAATGCTTTAAAAGAGACCAACGTCGTCTATGCCTTCAAATGCCCTCTTGGGGACTGTAAGCTCCAAAAAAAACAGTATATAGGCAAGACAACAACATCTCTTTCTAAGCGTTTAACGATGCATAAGCAACAGGGCTCCATTAAGGAACATATAATCTCTTCCCACAACCAAACCATCGCCAGAGAAATCCTAGTAAACAACACAGAAATCATCGATAGATACAGCGATAGCAGGCGGCTTGACGTCTGCGAGGCTCTACACATCAAGAAGTCAACACCAGCAATCAACAGCCAATTAATGCACAACTATATTCTACCCACCTCAAGACTCCGCTCCAATATAGAAGCATCAAGAAATATGGACCAATAGGCTTTCTACAAATCACTTCCATTCAATACCCATTGTTTCGTGTTCTGTCTTGTGTTTAGGAATTTAATACCCCTATTAATACCACCTCACCCCATCCACCTCGCTAAAATGTAGATATAAACAAATCGAAGATGTGTAAGTTCTATTCAGTTGTGTATGTGTAAGCTAAAGTCTTTGAAAATGTAATAAGTTTTACGAAACGCGCTCAAGTGTCACGTCAGACTAG